TATGAGTGAGTGAAAAACACTTGCCTCATAGTTCTCATTTAATGTTCGGAATGTCCAGATTCCAGTTTTTTCAAGACCTAGTACAACTACTTTCCCTCAGGTACTTGCCAATACCAATTACTGATACTTTTTCTTAAAGGGACTTGTTTATCTAGAATATAGACTAATGCAGCTTCTCACCAGGGCTGCATTTGCTTCCCACCAGGGCAGTGTACAAATGTCACCAGGCTACGTTTGCATCCCACCAGTGCAGTGTACAGATGTCACCAGGCTGCATGTGGGGCTGAACTATCAGGCGCCAGCTACGGGGCTGTTTGATCGGTGCAGGGCTGTCATTTCCTGCGCTGGGAAGGTACAAGTACTCCTGAAAATGCCCTGTATCTGGCCCGATACGACTATCATTATCGTGACATCCCTTCTTAATGTATAAATTTAAGGTTTAATCTGTATTAATAGTATGTAAATTGGTGGAAAACTGGCTTCAGGATCATAGCCAAAACGGTATTAATGGCTAATTTTGTCAAATGCTGAGTGGAGCGCTATGTGTGTGCAGTCCGCGGCGCTGGAGCAGGTAGTACCACGGCCACGTGTCTCCTGCCTTCCGGCCACCTGTGCACGGGTGGCCGCTAATTGAGCCCCCGGGTTCGTTTGCTGCTTTGCTGGAAGCCTCCATCCTGTTTACGGGCTGACGTGCCCGTCCCGTAATGTCACTTCCTGGTCTGGATGTGGCTGGGACGGTCCTTTTCGCCTGGAAGACGCTGGTGTGAGGTCGCGTTGCTGCTACAGCAGACAGATCTGGGTGGCAGGTTTACAGGCTGCGGGGGCCTTTACACAGCCATACAGGGCTGTGAGTACCTCTGCCCGCCCCCCCTCTACCTGCTGCTGTCTCTGGCTCATTGGAGGCAGTTTTTGTGCCTGGGGGTGGTGTACCATGGACAGCAAGGACAAGCCATCCACAGTACCTTGTGAGGGTTGCGGGCTTCTTTCGTGGAAGTTTCCCATTCCCCTCTATGTGCGGCCTGTATGCCAGTGCCCAGTCACAATTGTCCCCCTCCGGTTCTTTGGTGGGGGTGGTCAGTGCCGCAGGCACTGCATTATCCTTGGAGGTGTTTTTCTCCACTATGGGCGGTTTTGTAATGCACATTGAAAGCGCCTTGACACAGAGGCCTCCTAAAAAGCGCGCTCTGCCATCGCCTTCCCCTTTTCTTTCAGGGGAGGAGGAGGGGGATATTTCTGTGGCGTCAACTCGCCCTGACCCGGGGGATTCTTCCCCACCGGATTCCGGTAATGAGGATGTCGCGCACCTCACTTATGGTTCAGGAGCCCAAATTGGTCTCTGCTCTGATTCGTTCTGTCAGGGAGATGCTTAAGATTGAGGAGGCTCCGAGTTCTTCTGTGCTTCCTCCAGTTCAGTTTGGGACACATAAAAGAAAACTTTCCACTAAGGTCTTTCCTTACAGCTCCTTCTTTGATGATTTTGTCTACAAGGAATGGAAGCGGCTGACTAAGTCATTTTCGGTTCCTAACAGTTTTTCGGTTTGCTATCCTTTTGAGGAAACAATTGTTATGAGGAGTTTCGCACACCACCAGTAGTTAATCTCCAGAGTTGTGTCTGACCTACAGGAGTGCGCTCTAAACATTGTGCTTTCTATTGTTATCCTTTTGAGGAATCGTTTTTGACTAAGTGGGAGGCTCCTCCAGTTGTGGATCCTTCAGGATTGGGCCTGAACAAAGCTAGTGTTATTCCGGCAGAGGATTCCCCTTCCTTTCGGGATCCCACCGATAGGAAAGCACAGGCTGTGTCGCAAACCTAAGAGTCTTTGCCTAAGGGTAAGGCAGAGCTACTGGGCTCCAGATTGTAATCTGGAGCCCTGTAGCTCTGCCTTACTCTTATGGTGCTCATACACTGCTCGATTCTCGTACGACAATCGCGGGAAATCCCGCGATCGTACGAGAATCGAGCAGTGTGAATGAAGACGTGCGTCCGTTTCTACTGTACGGTTGCACGTCTTTTGTCTAAGGAGCACGCTAGAAAACCAGCCGAAAATCGTCCGATTTTCGGCTGGTTTGAACGGTGCTCGGGAGACAAATGCCGAACGGGCCGGTGTGCGCACGCGCCCCCACTGCCCGTTCAGCCTTGCGGTCATCGAAAGCCTGCCCCTCAAGGGGGCAGGCTTGCGATGATCGAAAGTACGATCTGCCTGTCCAAGATGGGCAGATCGTACGTTTTTTTAATTACTTTACAACCATCGCAAGACTAAGGTCTTGCGATGGTTGTAAAGTGTATGGCCACCTTTAGGCAAATCCTTGACCAGGTCATTTATTTCACTATGACATTTAGATGTGGTTCAGAAGGAGCATACAGTAGGTTAAAGTTTGGATCCACTGACATCGATGGCCCCAGATTAGCTGCATCCTGCTCATCGTCTTTATCATCTGAGTCTAGAGAGTAGTATTCTGGTGGATCTGGAATAGGCAAGTCCTCACCATGGGGTGCAGGACGCAGTGCCGATGAAATATTTGGATATTCCACGGTCCACTTCTTTCTTGAGATCGCTTTTGCAATTGGGGGAACCATGCAAAAATAGCAGTCGCTACTATGATTGGTGGGTTCACTCCACACCATTTGTACTGCGAAAGGCATGGACTTTTGCTTCTTGTTTAGCCAATGACGCAGATAAGTTGCACATGTAATGGAACAATGAGGGGCCCAACTCTTGTCCTGATCCCCTATTTTGCATCCAATATATAAGTGGTATGCCTTTTTTACAATTGCCATCATTCTGCACTTTTGAGATGCAAAAGTAACCTCGCCACAAATATAGCAGAAGTTATCTGTGTTGATTACATAGTTTCGAGGCATCTTGGCTTCTGAGGGAAAATATTACGGAACTGTTCCTTGGAAATGACAGTTACAAGCCACCCGATGTAGATGGTGCATATGATGCGTAGATCTGACCAAGACAGATGTACCTTGCAATAAAAGAAAAAAAAATGTAGTTAGGTAATCTTTAGTCTCAAAGTGAAGATAAATTTATACACTTCCATGTGGTACCATTTTCATTGTTCTAGTGTACTTTGTCGAGGTTACGAGGCATCATGATGATCAGATACCTCCCTCCCTTGTTGGCAAATATACCCGCCTGTTTATAAATCTTTCTTGGTAAATATCTTGAAAAGTTTAGCAAACCAGCACCTTATCTGTTTTCTAATTCATCTAATCAAAATATGTAGGCATTAACACATTTTATCTCGGAGGTCAATTATTTCCCAAAATTTCTAGACCAGTGTTATTACTAACAGACACCGTTTTCTATCATAATATTTTGATGTGAGCTATAGGCAACTTCTGTGCAAAATGTTTCGGTTTCGTAATATGCACTGTGGCCGTATTATTTTTTTATTTTTTTGTTCGTTGTAGGTTGTTGCTAACTTGACTTCTCTAAAAAAAAAAAACAAAAAAAAAAAACTCTAAAAAAAAGAAATGATTTTCACTAAAAAGCGATAAAAAAAAAAAAAAGGAACTTCACCCATATCTTCAAAACAACAAATACACGTTTAGTAATGGCAATCTACAGATACTTATAGATAATTGGTGGCTTTTTAGTCTCTGCATACTTTTTTTTTCTTTCAACTTCCTCATTCCTTTCACAGTAGCCATTTTAACTTGGAGCAGGTTACTAGGTTTCCCTTTACTTCTTGAGATTACAGATGACATTTCCCAGCAATGCACTATGATGTAACCTTCACCAGGATGCAGTGCTTGGGCACAATTACAAAATGTTGTGCCAAAGTGGACCATTAAGTAGGGAAAAAATTGTACGTAAAATAAAAAGGTTTGTTTAGCTAACAAATGAAATATTATTTAATATCTGCATGCTGATGTGATTTTTGTCAAAGGGGGTAAAGGTCTACTTTACCCCCTTTTATAGACATAAAGGGGGTAACATTTATAGACAATGTTAAGGAGAATGGGCCATGTCTCCTGAATCCCTTCCCACACACCAATGCCTGTATCATGAAATATCACCCATTAAAATTCAGTCAGACTAGGGACAATGACTGAATGGCCATCCATTTCTTTTGTTACGAGGGCAGTCATTTTATTTCGTTAAAATACTTTATTTTCCCTTGCCCAAAAGACCTTTCGAAAGCAATTTTTGGAGTAGCTGGAAGTTTTGTTATTTGAAGTCTAGTATGTTGGCCAACTGATGGCCTCTACCTTTTTACAAAGCAAAATGAAACAGGCCACTTTCCTTTTTTTAATAAGGCTGGAGCAAAAGGTGAAGAAATATCATTCAGTTGGAACAAATGTTCGGTGACAACTGTCCCTTTTATATTTGTTAGATTTCCTCTCATTTCTTGTCGACTCCAGGAAAGAAAATTAAGGAAAATCTTACCATTTGAGCACACAGCAAAAAATAACCCATACGTGTTTTCACCCTTCCTTAAGCTAGTTAAAAACTATACATATAGTTTAACCATGTTTTCGGTTTTCTCAATCTACTATTTTGATATTTAACTATTTCTGTGCAATAATTTTTTACGGCAGTGTGGTTTGTCTTTTGGTTTTTTATGTATATTTTTCTTTTTCTCAGCTGAACATTGAGAGTGCCATTTATAGCCATTTTTCTTGCCTTATCCCTTGTTTCCCCCGGCAGCCTGCGCTCTCCTTTTCCATGCTCCAGGTATTGGGTGGGCCCTTGGCATCCCCAGTTACAATTCAGGACTGCTAGTCTTGGGTTGTACGTGATGACATATTGCCTGTGACCGAAGGCCCTGGGTCATGTAAAACCAGTTGCTACGGTGGCCAGTCACCCACTACAAGTTTCTCGGGTTTGGCACCTATGGAATTTTTATGCATAACTCAATGCTTTGCCTGCCAGAAATTTAGGCTATGGTTACTACAAATCTCCTGTAGTTTTGCATTAATCTGGACCTTATTTAATTTTTTTTCCCAAGTAATTAATGGTCTTTATATTATGTTTTCTTTTATGCAGTACTTATGAATCTCCTCCCTTTGCTGCATGGGAACGTCAATGGAAGCAAAATAATTATCCAAGAATTTCAAGAGTGTTGCAGACGTGGCATCATTTTGTTGGGTGATGGTAGCAACATTACTGTGAAAGAATCGGAAAGTCCAAATGCTTGTCAGCAAATACCCAGCAGTAATATACCCTCCAAAGCTCGGTTGAAACGTATAATTTCAGAGAATTCTGTGTATGAAAAGCGTCCAGATCACCGTTTGTGTTGGTACGTTTATGATGACATTTTGAAGAGCTTTCAGCAGGAGAGTCTACCTGTACCATGTCAATGGACTTATGTCACCCAGCTGAATCCTCCCAATAGAGATGAAGTTATGACTGCTGGGGCACAGATGCAGACAACACCATCAGGCAAAAGAAAATCTGCTGGCAGTATGCCTATCACCAAGTTTATGAAAAAAGCTACGGTTTTAGGATCATTTACAAATGTAAGTAGCTGTGTGGTGATGTGGGTTTTGTGTATGTGTTTGTTTTTTTGTTGTTGTTAGAAAAACTCATACTGCTATTGATTTAGGCACTCCTGAATATTTATATACTGTGGCTCATGCCAAATGCACCCTTTTTAAAAGCTTTGAGCATGGAAACCGTTTCTTTACAATTCTGTATTTTTATTAACAAACCTTCCTTAACAAATTTAGAGTAATATCTGGGTATTTATTACATTTCTCTGATTGCACCTGTCACTAAGCTTAGGAATGCAAACTAAACTACCAGATAGCAGTTAGTCATTTTTGAAAACCTTGAATGCTTAAATTCTTGTTGCCTTCTCATTTTGCTTGTGCGCAAAACAACCCCACAGTGCTATGCAGGGTGCCTCTTCATGAGTTAAGAACCCACATTGATTTGGGGGATGCACTGATAGGAGTCTGTGTACTAATTTTTCCTAAAAATTTAAATACTAGGGATGCACTGATACTAGTATACGTGCCTATACTGAGTATTTGGGCGAGTACTCATACGCGTTCAAATGCTCAGATACCTTTCCCGATAACCGAACATTTGGTCACAGGAAAATTACCTCTGACTTGCTCACCTCCTGATCTACTGAGCCGACCTGTGACAGTCTCATTGTCACAGGTCGGCTAGAACTATGAGGTGAGTGAAAAGCACTCACCTCATAGTTCTCCTTTTAATGGCATTCCAGTCTGACATCTGTGGTACACATGGGTCCGCCGCTGTCAGTGCTCCATGTTGGCTTACTACTAGCATCACTCGCACACATAAGGCCATCATTGCCTCACCCAGCGGTTTTCCTCCTACAGCCGCACCTGGGTCTCCTCAAGCGCTGACTTCAGACTTCCCTTTGACTTCCCCTTTGCTGACCGTCGAGCACTGTCACAGCAAGGCCGTTCACGGCACGCAGAACTGACGTCCCCTGCCTCCATTAGCCACGAGGCAATATATTCATTCTTCCTTACTCAACAGCCAGCCCGGGCGGCTTTAATATAGCAAAGAGAGGCGTTCAGGTTCTTCAGCCAGGGTTCTACAATGTAAGTATGGAATCGGGTCTCAGCACTATCTGAAAGCAGAGCAGCATCAGGGTTGCGGGGAGATAGGGAGGTAGGAAGGAGGGGGGTATGAGGGATAGGTTGGGGGGGAGTAAAAGAGAGGGGGATGAAGTGTAGGTGGGGAGGAGAGAGCTGAGAAGAGTCGTAGGGTGTGTTCTGTCCTGGAGATCTACCCAGTGTGTCCTTGGCATAAGGCCGCATACTCTGGAGAGTTGAGAAACTCAATCCAGTAGAACCAAGTGTTCCGGAATTTGGCTGGTGTGTTGTTGAGTGAGGTCCTCCCATGAGGTATATGTCATGTACCCTGTCCAGCCATTGGTGGATGGTGGGGGGTTCAGGTTTCTTCCAAAGGACCGGGATGCAGGCCCGGGCCGCGTTGACCAGGTGTCGCACCACTGAGCGTTTGTATGTTTTAAGTGAGGTAGTGTTGTGGTGTAGGAGGAAGAAGGCCGGGTCTCGAGGCACCGGGGAATCAGTGAACCGCTGGATTGTGGCGTGGACCTGATCCCAAAAGGTTTGGAGAGAGGGGCAAGACCAAAATATATGTAGAATGTCAGCATGCGGAGCTCCGCATCGCCAGCAGTGGGAGGATGTCTGTGGGAACATAAGAGTGTAGGAGATGAGGAGTCCTGTACCATCTGGTGACCAGCTTGTAACCCGACTCCTGGTATTTATTGCTGATCGACGATTGGTAAGAGTGTGAGGAGCTTCCCGCTTTCCTCCGAACTAAATCGGATTCCCAGGTCCTCCTCCCACTTCGTATGAAACTCAGAAGAGCCAGAGATGAGTTGTTTGTAGCACATGGAGAGAACATGCTGAGCAGAATCCTGTCGGGTGCATTCCAACTCATATGTAGTCAGGGCTCTGGAGAGCTGCGAGGGGGGTGGCAGTGATCTTGGGAAGTGGGAGAGTTGGTGAGTTCTCCACGGGTCTAAAGGTGCGGGACCTTGGCGGGTGGGAACCCTGAACCCTGAGGACCAGGAAGCCCCCGTCAGGAAATGGAAGTGCCCTTTCTTTACCTGGGGATTTGAGAGTTCGGGTTTCTCCGATCCTGGTGGGAAGGCTGGATTGCCTAGGATCGGGAGCAGAGGCGAGGGGTCGGGAGAGAGGGCGTATTGGGCAAAGGCGGATTTGGCTACCCGCAGCGTGGGCATGATGGTGGGATGCGTCTGTACGGCCTGTGGCAAGGGTGAGGAACACCAAGGGAGGCCTGAGAGTGGAACACGGGCAAAGGATTTTTCAAGGTCCGTCCATGGGGTTTGCCCAGACGAAGGAGGTGAATAGGGTTCTCAGTCGTCGGAAGAAGGACGACGGGATCCTTATTGGTAGGGCTTGGAGTGGGTAGAGAAGACGAGGGAGTATTGATTGCTTAAGAATATTACACCTCCCCATCCAGGAGAAGGTGCCCTTAGACCAAGTTTTGAGGTCGGAAGTGATAGCGGTAAGTAGCGGTGGAAAGTTGAGGGGGGTATACCTGTGAAAGGTGTCGTGGGAGGTGTACTCCCAGGTATTTCAGGGATATCGGGGACCACTTAAAAGGGAAATTGGTTAGCACCCGTTGCAGCCGGGGTCCCAAGAGGGAAATGTGCATGGCAGATGATTTGTGCGAGTTGACTAGGAAGTTAGAAAGTTCGTCGTACTTGGCTATTTCGGATAATAGTAGCGGAAGGGAGACATCTGGGGAAGTGAGGAAGAACAGAAGGTCATCCGCGAAGGAGGCCACCTTGTGTTGGGCATGTCCCCTCTGGATCCCTTTTATATCAGGATTAGAGCGGATAGTTCTGAGGAAGGGTTCTAGGGTGAGGATAAAGATTAGGGGAGAGAGGGGGCACCCCTGGCGGGTGCCATTCGAAATGTGGAAAGGCGGAGAGAGGACCCCGTTCACTCAGACCCTCGCAGAAGGGTTGGAGTAGAGGGAGCGTATCCAGGTCTTCATGTAGGGGCCCAGACCAACCGCGTCTAAAGTGGAGGTAAGGAAATCCCAGTCCACCCTGTCGAACGCCTTCTCCGCGTCGGTGGACAGTAGGACGCAGGGGGAGGCGGACGACAGGGCAGAGTGGATGAGTCCCATGGCTCGGGTGGTATTGTCCCTAGCCTCCCTCGTTGGGACAAAGCTTACCTGATCTAGATGTATCAGATCTGGTATATGGGGGGGATAGACGGTGATAGAGAATCTTGGCGAATAGTTTGGTATCGACGTTTAGGAGTGAGATGGGTCGGTAACTAGGGCAAAGGGTAGGGTCTCTGCCTTCCTTAGGAATGACCGTGACGTGGGCAAGGAGTGATTCGGGTGGGACAGGATTGCCCTCCCGCAGAGAATTGAGGGCCGATAAAAATGGGCTCGAGAGAAGGGGTAGGAACTGTTTGTAGTAGTGGAGAGTGAATCCATCAGGGCCGGGGGCTTTACCAGACTGGGAGGTTTTGATGGCGCGTTCAAGTTCAGGGGGGGTGATCGGGGATTCTAATAGCGTGGAGATGGAAGGGTCCAGGGTGGGCATGCCTGAGTCCGATATATATTTGGTTATGCATGTCAATCGCGGATTAGGTGTTTGGGTGAGGGTGGTGGGGGATAGGTTATATAAGGACGAATAGTATTCGCTGAAGGCGGAGGCAATGTCTGTGGGCTTGGTGAATCTGGTATTTGGTTGTTTAATGAGGGGGATATGGTGTCTGGCATGGCGCTGACGTATGGTTCTAGCCAAATATGCACCACATTGGTTGCCGTACTCATAAAATGAGCGTCTACACTTGGCAACGGAGGCCTGGACCCGGTCGAGGCAGTGGGTCCTGAGTTGTTCCCTCAAGGTGCATAATTGGCGTCCAACTGTCGTGTCCACTTGGGTCTTATGTCTGGATTCGAGGTGGCGGATCTGGGTGAGGAGTTCGGTGATCTGGGTCAGTCTCTATTTCTTGAGCCTAGCGCCGTGAGTGATACGCATCCCTCTGATCGTCGCTTTGTGGGCTTCCCACACTGTGTAGGGGGACACATCCGGGGTAGCATTTTCTGCAAAGAAGAGGCGCAAGTCAGGCTCCAGGGAGGCGGAGATGCCGGGCTTGTGCAGAAGAGACTCGTTGAGCCTCCACTGCCACGGTCCCGGGGGAGGGCCAGTGAGGGAGAACGTGAGAATGACCGGGGCATGATCCGAAAAGGTGATGTTTCCAATATCTGTGGAGAGGACACGTGGGAGCTGATTATGGTGGACAAAGAAGAAGTCGATACGGGTGTAATGCTGGTGAAGATGGGAGAAAAAAATAGTCTCTCGTCGACTGGTGCTGTATGCGCCATGCGCCATACGTCAGTTAGTTGGTGGTTGAAGAAGCACTTTTTAATACGGTTCCACTTACTGAAGGAGAGATGGGAGGAGGACGCGGAAGAGTCCAGGCGAGGGTCGAGGACAAAGTTAAAATCCCCTCCCAAAATGAGGAGCCCCTCACGGAAGTCAGCCAGACGGGACAGGACTCGTGTGAGAAAGGTGATTTGGTCGTGGTTTGGCAGGTACACGTTGGCTATAGTAACTGTTTGGGAGTCAATAGTGCCTTTCACAAAGAGTACCCGGCCTTCTTCCCCAGCATAGTTATCTAGAAACAACCATGGGAGGGAATGAGAGAGAACAATGCTAACGCCTCTTGAGCGTTTATCGGGTGAGCTGCTGTGGTATACAGTTTGATATCTTCGGTCACCCAGTCGGGGTATATGGTCAGTCTGGAAGTGGGTCTCTTGGAATAGCGCCACATCAATTAGTTGGCGGTGGAGATCTCGGAGCAGCATCGTGCGCTTTTCCGGAACATTGAGCCCTCTGGCGTTGAGGGAAAGGACCTTAAGAGGGGGCATCTCCAAGGATCAGAGGGGGTATAGACTGGAAAGGAGAAAACTGAAAAAGGAGGGGGAAGGGGGAGTGGTAGGGGAGGAATGGGAGGAA